CTGCGATGGTCCTTGCGCACCTGAGGTGTCGCACCTGCGATCAAAGCTTCGCAGGTGCGGTTACAGCAGAAGCAAAAAATTTCAGATTTTCTTAAGTCCTAATTTTCGATCCGTTAACCATACGAAACTCGCCCGAGGCCCTCGGGACCTCAACCAAATATACCAACAAGTCCTAAAACATCATATGAACTTAGTCGAAACCTCAAATCACATCACACAATACTAAAAATACGAATCACACATAGATTCAAGCCTAATGAACTTTGAAACTTCCAAATTCTACAAACGATGCCGGAACATATCAAATCACGTCCAATTGACCTCAAATTTGCGCACAAGTCATAAATGACATAACGGACCTATTCCAATTTTCAGAATCGGATTACGACCCCGATATCAAAAAGTCAACCCCCCGGTCAAACTTCCCAAATATTCAACTTTCGCCATATCAAGCCTAATTCCAGTACGAATTTTCAAATAATTTTTCGGGCACGCTACTAAGTCCAAAATCACCATACGGAGCTATTGGAATCATCAAAATTCTATTTCAAGGTCGTTTACACATAAGTCAATATCCAGTCAACCTTTTCAACTTAAGTTTTCATCTTGGAGACTAAGTGTCTCAATTCCTTTCAAAACCTCACCGGACCCAAATCAATTACCCCAGCAAGTCATTAACCAACTGTAAAGCATAAATTGAGTAGTAAATGGGGGAACAATGTAACAATCCGACCGGTCGTTTTGAGTATCACAACCCCGTTCTCCTATTTATTGCTCAATTTATGCCTTACAATTGGTTTATGACTTATCGGGTTAGTTGGTTTGGGTCTGGAAGGATTTCGGAATGAAATGAGATACTTAGTCTCATAATTGAAAACTTAAGTTAAAATAGTGACCAGATGTCGACTTATGTGTAAACGACCCCGGAATGGAGTTTTGATGATTCCAATAGCTATTTATGGTGATTTTGGATTTAGGAGCGTGTCCGGAAAATTATTTGAAGGTACGTAGTAGAATTTGGCTTGAAATACCGAAAGTTGAATTTTTGGGAAGTTTGACCGGGGGTTGACTTTTTGATATCGGGGGCGGAATCCGATTCTGGAAATTGGAATAGGACCGTAATGTAAAATCTGACTTGTGTGCAAAATTTGAAGTCATTCCGGATTGATTTGATGTGTTTTGGCACAAGATATAGAATTTGAAAGTTCAAAGTTCATAGATTTTTATTTGAGGTACGATTCGACATTTCGAAGTTATTTGATGTGATTTGAGGCCTCGAGTAGGTCCGTGTTATATTTGGTTGAGGTCCCGAGGGGCTTGGGTGTATTTTTGGATCATTGGTTGAGAGATTAATAAAGCTAAGAAATTTGGGAGTTTGGCCATGGTCAATATCGAGTCAAGACGACCTCTTTTTAGTGTTTTGAGTGCGCGAGCAGGTCCGTAGTGTATTTTATGATTGAAATTCATATATGGTTTGTGTCCGGGAGGTTCCGGATGAGTTTCGGGGTGAGTTTTGAGCGAGTCCGGCCATTTCGGCACTCTAATATTGTTCTGGCACTTTTGGGGGCGCGGACCGCGCATTTTGGGCTGAGGCGAAGGGGAGGCGCGAACCGCAGTAGAATTTCGCGGCCGCACTTGGAATTTCGCGGACAACGGCAGAATTCCGCAAACCGCGGCAAAATTTCGCGGACCGCGGTTGGAAGTTCTGCAGATCCGCTGGTCCGACTTCGGAAGCCTATATCTTTTGATCTACAAGGAATTTTGAGATGATTTAAAAACTAAAATTGTAGCCCTTCGTGTCTAGTTTCCAGAAAGATAAAGAATTCATCATTTGGACATTTGTAGAGAAAGTGATCGCCAAAATACTAAAGCCTGGCAGTGCAACCCCAAGATTTTTCACGGACAGCGCTAATTTTTCGCGTCCGCGGGACCTGGGACGCGGTCGCGGTTGGAATTTCGCTGACCGCGAAGTGGGAGATAAGAGGTGTACTATATATCCGAGGTTTAGGGTATTATTTCATATTTTGGACCTAGGGAGCTCAGTTTGTGGTGATTTTTCGTGGGTTTTTTAAAGAAATTCATCGGGGTAAGTGATTCTAACTCGAATTTGGTTAATATACATGAATATATCAATGATTTCATCATCTGATTAGTACTTTGAGGTGAAAATTTGGGAAAAATTGTAAAAACTTCATAAAATAAATTTTCGAGATTTGAACACCGATTCAGAGTCGGATTTGAGTGAAATTAGTATGGTTGAATTCGTAATTGGATGGGTTGTCGGATTTTGTGAGTTTCGTCGGATTCCGAGATGTGGGCCCCACGGGTGATTTTTGGGAGGTAATTTCGGATTTTGTGGAAATATTAGTATTTTGATATGGAATTAAACCCTATAACTTTTTTGGGCTGAATCAAATTAATTGTGACTAGATTCGAGCCGTTTGGAAGTTGATACGCGCATAATGGAATTTTTGGAGCATTGATTAGCTTGGTCGACATGGGATTTGGCTTGTTCGAGGTAAGTAACTCTTCTAATTTTGGAGTTGAGGGTATGAACCCTGAATATAAGTATTATGTGAATTGTTGGGAGGTGACGCACATGCTAGGTGACGGGCGTGTGGGCGTGCACTATAGAAATTGTAACATAATTGTTTATGTAGAATTTTGTAGTTAAATAATCTTGGCATTTTCCATGCGATTTTATGTGTTAAAGAAATTGAGCTGAAAAGTATAATAAAAATCACGTTGAGACTATGTGCTAGTATTATTGGGACCCACAGAGTCATATTGCTGTGAATTATTTATTTTCAATTGAAAATTTATACTCAGTCATATTCATGTCATTACACATCGTATCTCAGTCTCTGTTGTTATTTATTGATACATCATATCATCATTTTGGGACTATTTTTATGGCATTGTGAGCCCATGAGAGAAAGACTAGAGAGATTGATGACTAATTGAGGCCGAGGGCCTGATTGTGAGAATTATTATGTGGATCGGGGTTGCCCGCCTACAGCAGGCCTTATAGGCTTTATTATAGCACGTGAGTTGGTCGTGCAGCACGTGAGTTGTCCGTGCAGATTCGGATATTATTATAGCACATGAGTTGTCCGTGCAGCATGTGAGATGTCCGTGCGGATCCAGATATTATTATAGCACGTGAGTTATCCGTGCAGCACGTGAGTTGTCCGTGCGGATCCAGATATGATATTATAGCACGTGAGTTGTCCGTGCAATACGTGAGTTGCCCGTACTTTTAGCGCTTGGGCTATAGGAGCCCCTCATGAGTCTGTACACAATCCCAGTGAGCGCAGTCGACTATAAACAGGGATCGTGATACACGCCGCAACAGGTATTGTATAGCGCTGAGTGATTGAGTGTGCTGAGCATAGTGAGAGAGAATGTGAGACAGTGAGATTTAGTACTCTGAGAGTGTATGTACATGAGTACAATCTCTGAGATACATTGCATTGACATGCACACATGACATACATGCATAGAGATGTGTTTTCCTCATGTTGTACGGTATCATATTATTCATGATTTCTCACACATGTTGACAGATGGACATAGTGATGCATTTGTTTTACACTGGTTATATGGAAAGAAAATGAGACATTATATTTATTATTGAAAGGATTTTGGAAAAAATTACTATTTTCAAACTTATTCATATTTTGGTAACTTCAATAAACGATTTGGATTTTCACTAATGTACTTGAAAGGCAGAACTATTTTCAGAAGTCACGATTTAACTGAGCATTTATTCTATAAGTTACATCTGGTATTACTTGTTTAATATTGTTATGAACTATTGTTGGTTATGGAAGTTGGACTCTAACCTTGGTACAAGCTCGTCACTACTTTCAACCTAAGGCTAGGTTTGTTACTTACTCAGTACATGGGGTCGGTTGTACTGATACTACACTTCTGCACATTGCGTGCAAATATTGGTTGTGGTTGTTGCTGTGTTCGATGGTTGCCGGATTTAAAGATGTACATGCGTTCCTATTGTAGCTGCCTCTTGTTCATGGTAGCCTTAGATTTATAACAGCTTTGTTTATGTACTATTCAAATAGACTATGTATTTATTTCACTTTCGTTTGTAAACTCTAATCTTAGAAGCTCATGATTTGTACTACCGGTTCTTGGGGATTGTATAAGATTAAGACCTTTATTTACTTAAATTGCTTTAATAATCATTATTGGAATGGGATATTTGGTAATTGACTTACTTAACGGGTTGGGTTAGGTTCCATCACGACTAGTTGGATTTTGGGTCGTGACAAACGGAGTTGTAATACTCAAAACGACCGGCCAAGTCGTTACATCCTCCCCCTCTTAAATAAACGTTCGTCCTCGAAAGACTTTAGAATCATACCTGGAGCCTCAAATAGGTATGGATATTTGCTCTGCATCTCCCGCTCAGTCTCCCAAGTAGCTTCTTCGACTGGCTGGCCTCTCCCTTGTACTTTTCTGAAGCCATGTTCTTTGATCTCAACTTTCGAATCTGCCAGTCTAAAATGGCCACCGGCTCCACATCATAGGTCAAACTACCATCCAACTACACTGTGCTGAAATCCAAAACATGAGACGGATCTTTGACATACTTCCGGAGCATGGATACATGAAACACTGGATGAGCACCCGATAGGTTAGGTGGCAATNAGTGTGACTTTACTAAGTCTATATGGAGCAAAATGCATCAATGGCTATAAAGAAAGAGGATATCAGTGCAGACTTGGAACCACTATATAGAATAGGCTATATAGTCTATTCAAAAGGTCCAATATACCTAGGACTCAACTTGCCCTTCTTTTCAAACTTCATAACACCCTTCATAGGCGAAACTCGGAGTCTCCTACCATGTAAGCAACAGCATGGACCTTCCGGTCGGCATAACTCTTCTGTCTAGACTGCGCCGTACGAAGTCATTCCTGAATCAATTTAACCTTTTCCAAAGCATCCTAAGCTAAATCAGTACCTAATAGCCTAGCCTCACCCGACTCAAACCATGCCCAGGGAAGATCCATCCCAGATATATATATCAACTGCGCTCACTCTGAGGGGTGAAGACTCCTGAGGGCCTCATTCAGCCCAAGTGCTATAATATCCATATCCAGGCATAAATAAATAAACAAAACTATCACTCAAAATCTCCAGTCTCTCGGGCTCTCAATGACATGAAAATCAACCCGATATGATGATATGAAGTGTCAATGAATGACAACAGAGATTGAGAAATGATATGCAAGTGATAAATATGACTGAGTATAAAATTATAAATTTAAACAAATAATTCAACATCAATACGACCCATAAGGGTCCCGAAATATATCGAGTGTAGCCTAAACATGATCTTTAATATGAGTCCCAGCTCAATTTTCCTAACATGTGGAGGTTATGCGGATAATGACATTTATTCAACTATGCAACTCCACAGAATTAATTTAATTTACAATTTCCATGATGCACACCCACACGCATGTCGCCTAGCATGTACGTCATCTCCAAACAATTCATACAACACGAAATTCAGGGATTTGTACTCTCAGAACCAAGTTTAGAAGTGTTACTTACCTCAAATCGTGTAATTCTTTACTCCGCTATGCTCTTGCGTCATGAATTGGTCTCTGGAAGCCTCGTATCTAGCCACGAATAATCCGATTCAGTCAATACAAATTATAAGAATTAATTCCATATAAAAATATAAATTTTCCAAAAAAAAACCCAAAATTTTACCCAAAACTTGCTCGTGGGGCCCACGGTTCGGAATCCGATAAAAGTTACAAAATCTGAAAGCTCATTCAACCACGAGTCTAACCATACCAATTTTACCTAAATCTGACCTCAACTCGACCTCCAAATCTCAAATTCTTATTTTGAAATCCCTAGGCCCAAATCCTCTAATTTCACCTCAAAATCATGTAATCTAGTCGAAATACTCAATGATAATCTAATATTATTGACTAACAATGATAACAAGTGACTTACTCAAGATTTTTCGTGAATTCTCTCTGAAAAATCGCCCAAAAACGTGCTTGAAATGTCAAAAATGACAAAACTGTCGGAACTCCTCTGTTTTGTGCACTGCCCAGTGCTTTCGCACCTGCGGCTCCCTTTCTCGCTTCTGCGAGGACGCTTCTATGGCTAAATCTCCGCTTTGGCGGAATCCACTTACCCAACTGCCTCCTCTTCTACGAGCCTTGGACCGCATCTGCGCAATCACAGGTGCGGAAAATCCCATCGCAGCTGCGCTCCAATCTGCATCTGTGCCCATCAGGCCGCTTCTGCGGCCACGCAGGTGCGGCACAATCTTCGCACCTGCGACCCCTGCTCACCTCTCCCTTGGCCGCTTTTGTGATGGTCCTTTCATACCTGCAGTGTAGCACCTGCGATCAAAGCTTCACAGGTGCGGTTACAGCAGAAGCAAAATTTTTAGATTTTCCTAAGTCCAGTTTTTGATCCGTTAACTATTTGAAACTAGTCTCAAGGCCCCCAAGACCTCAACCAAATATACCAACAAGTCCTAAAATATCATACGAACTTAGTCGAAACCTCAAATCATATCACACAACGCTAAAAACACGAATCACACATAGATTCAAGCCTAATGAACTTTGAAACGTCCAATTTCTACAAATGACGCCGGAACCTATCAAGTCACGTCCGATTGACCTCAAATTTTGCACATAAGTCATAAATGACATAACTGACCTATTTCAATTTCTAGAATCGGATTCTGATCCCGATATCAAAAAGTCAACTCCCTGTCAATCTTCTCAAAAAATCAACTTTCGTCATTTCAAGCCTAATTCCACTACGGATTTTCAAATACTTTTTCGGGCACGCTCCTAAGTCCAAAATCACCATACAGAGCTATTGGAATCATCAAAATTCTATTCCGGGGTCGTTTACACATAAGTCAACATCCGGTCAATTTTTTCAACTTAAGTTTTCATCTTGGAGACTGTCTCAATTCCTTTCAAAATCTCACCGGACCCGAATCAATTACCCCGGCAAGTCATATAATAACTGTAAAGCACAAATTGAGCAGTAAATGGGAGGACATGACTGTAATACTCAAAACGACTGGTCGGGTCATTACATAAGAGCATCACTAAGAGTTAAGGCCTTGATACAGTGTTTCATATTTTAGAATCCAGTTATGTACTGGCGTGTATAGATCAGAGTTTACTGATAGGTAGTATTTAGATAGCTAGTTGTGTTTGCTTAGCTATGGCTTTGTATAGATTCAAAGGTGATTAATACAAAAATTTAGTTACCCAAAAAAAAAAAAACTAGGATGATTTGAAAGCTCTTACACCCGTGAATTCGTCCCTGTTCTAGTGTTCTTCACTTACTTAATGTTACTTTGCGTGCATGCTTAGCAAGGAATAACTAGTAGAGGTAGATGGAGTATATAATATAGTCGTCAATCGTTTAAATTAAAAATAGTCGGTGAATGTATAATATGTGTATATTCATATAATATATTTATTACTGTATAAGTAAACTATGAATCCGATTAGCTATTTTTGTGTAAAGATTCCTATTTTTGTATGGAGGTGTTTTTGACATTTGTGTGTGTAACAAATACTAAAATTTTAAATGTTCAAACTCATAATTTCAAAAGTATAATAGCTTTGATGATAATAACTTAAAATATTAAACTTATCAAATTTAAAATTTAAATTCGCAGGAAATTGAAGTTGCAACTTGCAACATAACTGTTCCAGCCACTAGATTCAATTTAATGTGGTCTTGATCTATACAATCTATTTATTCATTAGATAGTTCTGATGAGCCTTAGCTTGGCTCTCTGAGAATTAGAATCTGAACTTCTTAACCCAACAAAGCCCGGCTAACTGCAAAGATGCCTCTGGATATGCAGTGCCAACTCAAAAAAAGCAATCTGATGCACAAAGCATTACGTATTCGTGCATGGTTCGGGGAAGGATCGCACTCAAAAGGGTGTGATATAGATAGTCTACCCTAATGCAATTGTTAATGACTACTTCCATGACTCCAACCCGTGTCAACTCACAAGCACTCAAATGTTTTTTGAGGCTCTTTTATCATTACTATTTAGTGTTGAGTTCGAATTAAGATTTAACATGGATAATCACTTGTTTACTAGAATGTTAGCAAGTTAAATAGCTTTAAGATTTTCTACTATTCAGCAGAAGGCATATTTAAATTGTACATACGAGTTTGTGGTCTAGTGATCAATAAAATAACATTAAAAAACTTGAGAGATTAGGATTAATAAATCTGAGCGAAATCCCTCCCCCAGTTAAATATTTGTTTCGGTGAAAGATAGAAGGTACTTAAAGAATTATTTGAGGTGCAACCGCAGGAAAAAAGGAAAAAAGAAAAAAGATGGCAGACTAAAACTTCTTACTTGTACCATAATGGCTTAGTGCAAGAATTTGGATATTTTCATTCAGCTTCAAGTGATAATATATTATGAAGAATTTACCTAAATAGCGTGTGTGTATATATATATCAGTGTTTTAAAAGGTATTTTTGGGACTCATCCGGGGCTCGCCCCTGGGCGGGGCACTTGCAAAACGCCATGGGGCTCATGTATGGGGCTTAGTTCTGTAAGGCTTACGCCCCAAGCTCCCGACTGTGTGCCCTAAATACGCCTAACGCCCAACGCTCGGGGCTCGCCTAACAGTTCTAACGCAAATCACGTGTTGAATTTCCTAATTAATATCGTTGACCTTTAAAATTCTTTAACAAATTAATGATAAAAGTTCTATTCATCGATAGAAATATGAAGATTGAGCATAACTCTAATAATGAGACATGATATTGCGAATTTATATCTTCACTTGTTATTGGTCGTGTCTTAGTTCATTTGTTCGTCCTTGTTATACACTTTTATTAATTTGATATCTTAAACTAATTTGTATTTATTCATGAAGGAGTAATATTTTAATTATCGTACTAATAAGATTTTATTAGTTACTTACTTTTAGGAAGGTAAAATGTGGAGTTTGATCATTTTTTTAAAGAAATTATAAGTTTTTAATTATTTGAAAGTTAAAGACGTTATACGTTATTTGTATGCATTAGTTATACTTACGAATCATGCTGGATATTATTCTTCTATGAGTTCCTTTAATTTTCTTTTAATTTTTAACTTTTAATTTATATTTTATTTTTTTGTGTTATTTTATTAATTTACAAATTAAATTTTTTAAAGATCCATGGGGCTTACGCTCCCCCCACCATTCCCTCCGCCTCTAGGCTTACGCATCACCCCATATCAAGTAAAACACTCCGTCTCACGCCCCCGCCTTTTAAAATATTGTTTGTAAGTAGCGTATAATAGATTGTTTGACTAGTTTTTTGTGGGGATGGAGCATATATATTTCACATATTTATAGTTTTTTTCAATTTTTATGTAATTTTACCTGTTTATAAATAGTTATTGTCATTATATTATTTTATAAAATATTAAAAATTAAATATTTATGGGGCTTACGCCTCGCTGAGACATATGTAAAACGTCTCGCCTTACGCCCACGCCTTTTAAAACACTGATATATATATATATATATATATATATATCGAGTATACTAAGTTGGGAAAAAGATCGAGAGCAAGAACATGAATATACCTGGGATAAGGTGATCCTTTAATTGGCTTTTGGCCATACTTTCTCCAAGACCAAGAATCAGACGTAGGATAAACTTCTCCTTTATAACTTCTTGATCCATTGCATTAGCTAATTGGCACTGAAATTACTCTCTTAATTCTTTGCTACTCTCCTACTACAACAATTCAAAGCAGAAGCATTAGGGTAGCCCATGACTGCTATATACAGAGGCGGAGCCAGAATTTGAAGCTTATGGGTTCAAGATTGTAATCATTTTAAGTTACTGGGTTACAAATTAATAATTTGTATATATTCTATGAAATTTTGAAAACAAATATATGGATTGGACCAAAGCGACGAACCCGTACTCAATGGGCTAGCTCCGCCCCGGCTATATATAGTGGAATTTAACAAGTTATTACAAATTAGCATCATCTACCGAAGCAAGAGTTGTGNCACCCCCACCCCCACCCCCAACCACCAGAAGATCAAGAATTTACAAACCTTTTCCTAGTTGATGGCATCCTAATATCAGCTGCTTCATCGCCGGATAAAGGATAATCAGTTGCATTATCTAGCAGTGTCGTACTGAAATCTTCTCTGTATCGTTCCAATTTTATCGGACATTTTTGAAAGAACTCGGTAGAGTCTTCTTGAATGTGAAAAAATAGATCTTTTTGTACCACATCTTCCATGACCAAAAGAGTAAATTTTTAGTTATAGCTATTGCTGAAATCTTGTTCTTGCTTTGCTAGATATTAATTCTTCAGGTTCTAAAATTTATTATTGGAAGAAAATAGGTCTGAATTAAATTGAGTAGATGAGTTTGCCGTCTAAGGAAGAAGGCGAATTGTGAAATTTGTGAAGGTTTGGTTATAAACTTATAATATATGGGAAAGGAAGTCACGTTTACAGATTGGCAAAAGTATACTTTATTAAGGACGTGCGAGCAATTAAAACTTAATAATGTGAGTATGTGACATAAGGTGCCACGTTCATAAGTGGAAAAAGATTTATTAAAAGGGCCCCTACTCTTAAATATAGATAAGCGACGCAATTTTTAATACAGTAATTTATCGAGTTAGCCACTTTAAATTGATGAGTTTAAGTTTTTGATAGTCTAGAAAAATTTTAAATTGCGAAAAAAGTAAGTATAAATGACTTTTCAAAATAATTAAAATTAATAACTTAGGAATAAGAGGATTAATTTGTTACAATATGTAAAATTACAATAATAAAATTAAAAAATTTACACTATAAACATACACACATATATATAACATGAAAGTCAACTACTCACAATATAGCATTATTGATTTGAAATTTGATTGTTTGCTTTATCCTTCAGAAATAAATATCTCGGGATTGAAAGCAGAAGAATATTTAAGTGCACCATACGCTGAGTTTAATTTCATCATTTCTTTTGTTTATTATTACTGAAAAAGGGGTTTTAATTAAAACCATAATAATCATAAAGTGAAAGAGAAGCAGTGAAGATCAATCATTATTATTAAATAATTGCGCTTTCTGAAAGGCACCAAAAGCAAAACGAAAATTAGAATTTAAGGTCTAGGTATTAACGGTATACAAAAATACTTACATAATTAGATCCATTAAAAGACAAATAATAACCTAGAATAAATAACAAGTAACCTCCTATATCAAGCTAAATCCTAAGCAATATTATGTCTCAAACCCCGTTATGAAAAGTAACTCCTCCACTTTAAAATGAAAATAAAACTTCATATACTATAATTTACTTTCTTCATGGTAAATACTTTTCACATGTGAGAGAAATGGTTCTATTTTTAATCTTTTTTGTGGCAAGTAAATCTAACTTTCATAATGTTATTTTGTACATCGATCCAAAAGGAAGTAAAAACCACATTATTCTGGTTTCGGAAAATAAATTCAATCCAACCATTTTCTTCTAAACCTTAATAAAAATTATAAACACATGCTTATATTTTGTTTTATAAATGTATTTAAACTAATTATTTCAAAAACAAAAAACAAAAACAAATTCAAACGGCATCGGGAAAAATGACATAAGCGAATCCATACTATTTATGCTAATCATATTTAATTTGTCTCATTTTATGCTAATCATATGTAGTTGAAGAATTTTCTTTTGATTTTCCAGGTACTAGTAGAGAATAGTAGTTCAGATTCTCCACTGATATATAAATAGTATAGCCTTTTGTGAGAATAATTATTGTTGGAGAGGTAAGAACACATAAAACACCACCTTATTGGGTAAATACTTATTCACACTTTAGTTCTACACCAATCCATGCAATTAAATCTAAGTAATTTAAATATAAAGTAAAATTACTCATGAGTTCATCTTGATTAATAAATGTGTCTATAGAAAATTTATATCTTGCATTTTATCGATTTAATATAAACATTAGGAACAAATAAATTTTACAGTATGATTGTCCCAGTTATTTACAGAAAAAGGAAACCAAAATCTATTGGTTGATAGTAGAAGTACGGTAAAAGTAGTTACTTAGACCAGATACTTACACCAAAACAAACTAATTTATAATAATTAAATGATTTAATAAGTGAGAATATGTAATCATTTATTATGACTAAGTAGTAAGAATTTCTATGCAAACACTTAACATGCATTTGGTGTAAATATCCCGTAGCAGTAAGTTTTTCCCCCAATTATCATAGAGGTACTCCACCACGGACTGATAAATTAAAGTAAAAATGAATAAGTGTTATAAGGTAACTGTTCGTTTTAAAATCGAAAAAGTTACTCCTCAAACCAAGGTACGTACTACGTAGCTCAAATTATTTTTCTTGTTGAATTTTTTATTCACAACCAAAATTATTGGACAACTAATTCCAGCTTGATAAGTAGGAACATAAAACTACGCGATTCTAGCAACGATTTTCGTCAGAAGTGGAAAAATAAACTACAGTGGCTGGACTAATTAAAGAAGATAAAAATTGAGGTTATGTCATTAGTGATTGAGATTAAAAAGAACTATTTTAAGTCTCTTTTTATTTTTAATAATAATAATTTGACTAACCAGTCAGAGAAACCTTTGCTTGTGTCGATGGGGAGTAAGGATGTCACAATATTATTGGTTAATTTTCCTAATAGATTATACCTAAAAATTTGTGTTGTACGCCCCCAAAAGAGAAGAACGCGTGTTAAAAAATTCATTAAACGTGCACAAATATTAGATTGAAAAGATTCTTTTTAAGAACTGCATATTTGTCCCACGATCTACCAAAATTTTCCCCAACTTCTTACAAACAGAAAAATTTCAGCTAGTTGATATCCTTGATAAAAAATTTCTATGAAAAATATGAATCCGAATTTGAATAAATTTTTGATTGCCAAAGGATTTGTAGTTGCAAAGACACTCCATTGTACTTTTGTTGGTCCAAGTTCGAATATTTTATATCATGCAATTACTTTGTAGGATCAGAATTAGGAGAGTAAACAAGTTAAACAAAAGACGAACAACTATAGGGGTCTTTACACAAATAACCGACCAGATTTGGACATACGTCTGATTTTATTTTTTTGAAGTCTGGACATTTTTACAAGCTTTATGTTTCAGAAATGGCGTTTTGGGTTAGGATTGCAGAGAAATAGAGATGGAAAGAGATGAATGGTAGAAACTGTTTGCAATGAGTGGTTGAGAAGAAAGATGGGGAATGGAATGGCAACAACATAATAATAATATGGCTAATTAGATATGTTCATACAAAGAGTAATATGGTTTACCTTTTTCAATTCATTGCAACACAAATGGAAATGATCTCTCGTTGCCATTTGAATAGACGAAATGAACATACAAAAAAATCATTCGTTATCTTTTCACTTCACAGATCTCCTGTATCAATTTTTTACTAATATCCATACGTACAAGATCATATTAGGTAACGCGGTTCAATAAATTTTCGAGTAAAAGTTAAACTCTAAGAAATATTAGCATCTCCTATGTCATAGCCATAGTCGTGAGATAAATTCTGGCTTGCTGGCAACATTTAAAACTCAACCAATCAAGAAGGATAATAAAATTAAATTCATCAGATAGCAAAAATGCAAACAAACTATAATATCCTGATATGCCAAATAACAGCAACTCTTCAAAACCTTTGAACTCTAGGAGTATTAGATGTTGGTCTACAAAATGCATAGAAAACATAACACNCCAATCAAGAAGGATAATAAAATTAAAACCATCTGATAGCAAAAATGTAAACAAAATAAAATATCCTGATATGCCAAATAACAGCAACTCTTCAAAACCTTTGAACTCTAGAAGTATTAAATGTTGGTCTACAAAATGCATAGAAAACATAAACTTGCTGGGGGACAAACTGATCCAACAGTGGATATCAACTTACTGAATGTTTGAGGATTTGTTAAGGATAACACCTTCATATTTGACTTGGAACCACTTCATAGCGTCATCCTTTGTGACCCTGTGCTGAATTCCAACTCGGGCCTTGCACCTCCTACGACGAGCAACACGGTATCCTGGGCGCTCGAGCACAACATAGAAATCCATACCATAGATACCGGTTGAAGGGTCATACCTATAGAACAGAATTTAGTAAAGGCACACCATTTTAAGACAAAAATACAGAGCAGTGGATGGGTAACAATCCTATGCTGATAGTCACCTCCAAATTATAAAATTGAAAACTAAGCATGTTGAATGTGAAAATAGTCGAAATAGCATGATATAGCTAGATAACATCTGCTTACTTGATTCCAAGATCAATGTGCTCCTGAATGCCAAAACCAAAGCAGCCAGTCTCACTGAAGTTTCTTCTCAACAACTCGTATTCCTTGACTTTCAATCCACTCTCAAGGAGCTGCATAGCTTTGTCTCCTCTGACAGTGACATAGCAAGCAATCTTCTCATTACGCCTAATTCCGAAGGACCGCACAGTATACCTAGCTGTCAAAGAGAGCAATACAACCATCAGAGGAAACAAAACATCATCCACAACGAATGAGGGATGAATACTTGATCACCTAGAGCCAATAAATAATTTATTTACCTCAGTACAAATGTTTCAATGTACAAAAACCAATTGTAATGTGTGAACGACCACATATCAATTTTTTATCATTGCATATTCAGAGTTAAACTAATTCTTGCATATCTAGCTCAAGAAAAAACATAACTAAACAAGCATACAACCATTCTTATTGGTAGGTTCTCGCTTAAGGGGGCAATAAGAATCATTTCACAATGGCATTGCTGCTACCGCGGTCACCACCAACAACAACAACTACTACAACTCAATCTCAAGCTAGTTGGCGTGGGTTACATGTACATATGAGCTCCTTTCAGGATGCATATAGGATAGGATAAAAGGCGGGTTACTCCTTGTGACCTAACATTTATATATCAATCAGCTACACTTCAATTCTACATCAGTTAGGGTTGACTATATGAATCTCATGTATTTCAGCTCTAGTCAGTTCCACGTCATTCCAATACAATATAATATAATGGAAATTAGAGATTCCACATTTCAACAGTACTGACTAGAAATTAATTCCAAATTCCAACAAAATTGCCATGTCAGTGTTAATAAATTAATTCATCAACTGAGCATTTCGAAGGTTAACTCAACATTTGATATACATGGAACTAGATAAGTCCAACAACTAACTATGCATTTGAGACAAAGGTAGCTAAATATCCGAAAATAAAGAAAAAAAAGTGGAATAAATTGAAGGTTTAAAAAACTAACCCTTAGAGAAAACAGGGGATTGGCCGCTGAGTTGCTCCAAGACCTATTCAGTACGGAACAATAACAATGCCAATTTCAGTTTCACAATACAAAAATGAAAATCAAGTTCTAAACACAGTATTAAACGCTATTGGGGAGGAAAATGAATGACCTTGGCTGCTCTGGTGAGCCTATCTCCGCTTTCACCAACGGAGATGTTAAGGACTAGCTTCTGAACCTTGATTTCCCTCATTGGGTTGCTCAACTTCTTCTCTGACGCCTGCTCATCGAATCAACGTATTCACATAAGTAACTTAGATTATCAAAATTCAATTCTTCAAAAACACAAATTAATGGGTGCATATTAGTCCTTTTTTTTAATAACCGAGAAATCCTCTCGGGACAACGGGCCCACTGCTCTAGGCTTCTCCACTTAAATACCAGGCATTTGTTTAACTCACACATCACGAGTTACACTCTTACTACTAGACCAAAGCCCTAGGGACGGTGTATTTTAGTCATTTAGATTTGCAGAAAATTGATTCTTAATTCTTAAACACAAAATTAGTAGATCTGCTTTTAATTCTACGACTTATATCGAACAACTCATTGATTAACGGTGGATTAATAACTAGTAAAAATGATATGAACAAAGATATCGAAGTTGAGGTTTAATTTGACAAATTACAAGCATTATAATCCACTTCTCTGACTTGTGATCAAAATATTGAGAAAATAGATAGCAATGGAAACGTACCATTTTGATTCCGTCTGAGGAGCTTTGCTGCAGAAAGAGATGAAGAGAAGCAAAGCGGCGGAGTAGGAGGGTTTTGACGAGGATTTAAAGCAGATAGCGAAATTCAGATTTGGGCTCATTTGTTTGGTTTGGTTCTATTTAGCCCGTTACATTTGGTCTTGGGCCAAGGATCTTTTTGAATTTGGGCTCATTTTGCTATATGTAGTAGTGGGGAGAAATTCAAAAATATCCAGATTTACAAGTGGTAATTAAAAAATAGTCACAGTTTCAAAAGTAATCGAAATTTAGCCACTTTTGATGTAAAGATAAATCTGAACGAAAACATTGTTCAAAATCCGAAAAATATTCCAGCATATTATACTGGAGTTCCAATATATTATACTGGAACTCCAGCATATTATGCTGGAAGTTCATACACATGTGCTCCAATCTCCAGTATATTATGCTGAAACTTCCGCGTGTTGGAGTTCCAACATAATATGCTGGAAGTTCATACACAGGTGCACCAATCTCCAGTATATTATGCTGGACCGCTCCGTGTTACAGCAAAATAGTGATTATTTTTCAGTGACTTTGCAAACGCTGGCTATTTTTGAATTATCAATTCGAAAACTGGCTAGCCCATGCTATTTTTACGTAGTAGTGGGATTGTTACACAAATAGCCGGCCAGATTCAGTGTTCACTTTTTCTAGCCGGTATACATAGATTATATATATATATATATATATATATAATTTAATAGATTAGGTGGACAACTATTTGGGTTAATTTTTCTATTTTATGTTGTTAGTATGACATGAGTTACTACTGAAATGTTGGTTTTTCGGCAAATATAAGTACTCGCTCCGTCTCATTTTATGCTATTATGTTTGACCGAACATAGAATGGAAAAATTTTTAAAAATACTTTTGACATGTAAGTCACGTATATGCATAATACTAAAATTAGCCTTATGAGCCGTAGTGAAAGTATCATATATCTTTTCATTTAAATGAGTAGTGGTGAGGTCAGACAACTAGGGCTGTTCAAAACTGAACTGTAACCGTTAACCGAACCGAATCGATGACCTATTGGTTTATTGGTATCGGATTATCGGGGTAATGGTTGGTGAACGGATTGAGATTTTATAATTAATGGTTTAACGGTTTGGGGGCGGATTACTCAATTTTCTTATCAGATAAACCGTTAACTCGTTAAGAATTTTTATATTTACACTTTTACATGGGATCAACAGAAGTTACAGGAGTATTATCAGAAAATAAATCTGAAAATTTCTTCAAGTTTTCAGTCAAGTTTTGTAGGTGTAGTAGATTCCGATTGTATATAAGTTTTCAGTCAGTTTGACTAGTTTTCCGTCTTTTCCCTTTTCTGATATAAAACAGGATAACTATGCAATCAAAAGAAATACTTATAATAAGTGTAGTACAAACTACAGAGTGTTAACAGATTCTATCATGTAACAACATATGTTAACAAGCCAAGTAAACTAAAAAGGGGATGGAACTTATAGTCGAGTCATTTATCGGGTTTGGCTGTTTGGTATTCACAAGACTAGTATTGTTCAAATTTTTTTATTTGATTTAGCTGATAAACCGCCCGATAACCGTTAATCTGATACCAATCCACTTGTTATCTTATTGGGTGGCTAGCAAATTACTATATTTATAATCTGATAACCGATAAGCCGAACCGTTAAACGTAATTATTCGCCCGATAAGTACCCCTACCAACAACTCATGTAATTCAATGAGTAAATGGGGTGTACTGGAATTAAATAGTTTCCGAAAGGATAAAAGTGTTAATTTTTGGGGATAAATTAAAATAATTTTTTTTAAAAAAAGCAGCCTGATGCACTAAGCTCCCGCTATGCGCGAGGTCCGGGGAAGGGCCGGTCCACAAGGGTCTATTGTACGCAGTCTTACCCTACATTTCTGCAAGAGGTTGTTTTCACAACTTGAACCCATGATCTCCTGGTCACATATCAACAACTTTACCAGTTACGCCAAGGCTCTCCTTCTAAATTAAAATAAAAGTGTGCACATAAATTCAAAAAATAGAAAGTAACAGTACTTGTGGAAATGCATGTTGTGAATTCAAGAATAGTACTTTCTTGGTTCTTTTTTCCCTTTTTCTTTTCATGAAAAATTTAGTTTATTCATCGATTTGTATGTGTCATACTTGCGCAAAAACTATGTTAATCTTCTCTGTATTGTTTCAAACTTTTCGGATACACCCGAAGGGACTATCCTCTATACTAAACCTATTTAACGGGCCGGGTTGACCCATTTCCGAACCACCCTGAACCCGGACCGGCCCGAGCCGGTAGTTAGGGGGCGGGGTGGGCTGGGTTAGGGTGTTGGTCCGTGTAAAAAAAATTCGGTTAACCGGACCGGTCAAATTCGGTCAAGAAAAATCACTATTGAACCGGTTAACCGGCCCGACCCGGTTCAACAGTGATTTTCTGTTATTTTAAAAAAAATCATTTGACCGTTGGTAAACGGTCAGCTTTCAATTTGATCGTTGCCCAACGGATATTTTGTAAGAATAGCCCTTTTTTGGGCAATTATTTTAAAAAATAACACTTTTAGTAATTACTAATTTAGCCCTTTAAAAAACTATAAAGTATAAATACACTTCCCTCTTCTTCATTTCTTCACTCATCTCTCATTTCTCAAACTCAAATTCTCAATTCAAGTTAAATCATGCCCCGTGATTCTAGAGTGCGCTCATATGTTTGGGAACACTTTGAGGTGGTAGAAGAAAATGAAGTTCACAAAGTAAAGTGCAAGAACTGTGGTCGAGTCTTAAATCTTCGTCGAAAGTGGGAGGGCACAGGCTGTTTAATGAGGCATATGAAGAGTTGTCTTGAGCGCCCTCCAGAAATTCGTATTTAAGATTTTAAGTTGATTTGAGACAATTTGTGTTATTTTAAAATTAGTAGACGTATTATGCTTAATGTTTTAGTTTATTTGATTAATTTGAAGTATTATTATGCAATGAAAATTTGAAATGAAACTATGAAAGCCTTTGAATTTAACACTCTAGAAGATGGCCAAGAAGGTCATATTGATTATGAAGAACTTACTAAGGCAATGCAAAACCTTTGAAGTTCTAGATTTATATTTAATAATTAAACTTTGAATTTACTCTTTTTTCATTAATTTAGTTGTTGTTAAATGTAAACTTTAATTTGCAAGTTTGAACTTGCAAATTATAAGTGCAATTTTTTTCCATCTTCATTGTATTCTATTATCTTAAATTCTTAATGAAATATTCAAATATAAGAATTTTAAAGTCTTTGAATCCTTATTCAAACACTCTTTTTATAAGATTATTTTTTTGTTTTATATTTTTACTTTAGTTATACAAAAAAAAAAAAAAAATCGGCCCGACCTCTTAGGCCCGGAACTGTTCCGGTTCAATTTTTGACCGAATGGGGCCGGACCCGTTAAGCTCAATTTGTATAACCCCAAACCCGACCCGGATTGGTGACTGGCCGGTCCCTTTTTTCTCGACCCGGACCGGCCCGACCCACCCGTTTGTCACCTTTACTCTATACTACTTGAATGGATACTTTATTTAGTGCACTCGCTTGTCATAATGGAAAGAAATATTGAGAGCAACATTATATTAGCAAAGAGTCAAATTATCCTACTCAAGGTAGCACAGAGAATCGAAGGCCCATGATCGAGGGTCATGATTGAAGGCCCATGCTCGAGGGTCATGATCGAAGGTTGGGCTCGAAGGTCACGATTGAAGGCCCAGGCTCGAGGGCTATGATCGAGGCCGAGGATCGAGGCCATGACCGAGGCAGGACCGAGGGCTGCCTGGGCAGAACTATAAAGGAGGGGACTTCGTCCCATTCTCTATTTTTGACAAATTGGAGCTTGAGCAGAGGCGATTTTTAATAGATTTTCAAGGAAAGATATTGGGGTAAGTGATTCTAACTCAGATTTGGTCAATATACACGAATATATCATTGTTTTCACTATTTAATAGTGTTTTGAGATTGAAATTTTGAAAAAATTTAGAAATCTCATAGAAACGAATTTTTGAGATTTCAGTATCGATTCGGAGTCGGATTTGAGTGAAACTGGTATGGTTGGACTCGTAATTGAATGGGTTATCGGATTTCGTAACTTTTGCCGAATTCTGAGATGTGGGCTCCACATACGAATTTTTAATTAATTTCAGATTTTTATTGAAAATGTAGTATTTTCTTATGAAATTGATTCTTTAATTTTTGGTGACTATATCGAATTATTTTTGGTTAGATTTGAGTCATTCAGAGTTGGATAATCGAGGAAAGGGTCTACTAGTAGATTAAATTAGAGCAAGACGAGGTGAGTCTCTTGTCTAATCTTGTGAGGAAAAAATTACCCCATAGTTGATTGAATTAATAATTGTTGCTAAGTGTGAGGGCTACGTACGCACGAGGTGACGAGAGTCCGTACGTAGCTACTATCTATGCTAAGTCCGGGTAATTTAGGACTCAGAGCATGAATTATGTGTGTAAATTGTATTCTTTATTTAATTAAATTATTAGAAATATATTGTGAATTGTTAGGGAAAGATAGTAAAAGAAGGGAATCTCATATACTTAATTTTTTGTTTAAATTAATTAATTGATAAAAGGAATTGTTCATTCTCTCGAATTAATCTTATAATAAATACACTCTTATTCCGGAGGTACATAAGAAAATGTCTTCATTTCTTGTGGAGCGGGCCGAACGCCTCGGTAGTATAGATGCATCTATGGATCGCGTCGCACGTCCCTCAACGGTTTACACGACACTCTGGAATGGGCCGTACGACCTTGGCAGAAATCGTGCCTAATAATAATAATTACACGATACCTTGATGTTTTAATGGCAGCTTGTGAATTTAATTAATAGATTGAAATTTATTGCATTTGAAGGAATTTAATTATTTCCGTTTGTTAAATGAGAATTATCGTAAATTCGATGAATCATGTTGATTTAAATATTCTATTTTTATTTCAATTATTATTATTGACCCCTTAGTGAGTGTCAAAGTAGACCTCTCGTCTCTACCTCTTCGAGATTAGGCTTGATACTTACTGGGTACACGTTGCTTACGT